CCCCTCACATGCTGCCCCTCACATGCTGCCCCTCACATGCTGCCCCTCACATGCTGCCCCTCACATGCTGCCCCTCACATGCTGCCCTCACATGCTGCCCCTCACATGCTGCCCCTCACATGCTGCCCCTCACATGCTGCCCCTCACATGCAGCCCCTCACATGCTGCCTCTCATATGCCCCCCTTCACATACCCCCGTTCACTCTTGATTATCAATGAAGGGTGAAAGTGATCCTCTCCTTCATTAATTAATTCAAAAGAAATTCATGCCGGGATGTTACCTCCAACAGCGAGCTATTATGTTACCGTCGGTGAGATGAACAGGATGTTACAAAATTATTGCAGAATATCGGTGCCTGAGAAATGAACCATGATTTTCTTCCAATAAGTTGGCGGTTTCTTCATTATTTTATCTTTTATAAGGAAGATATTTATGAATATCCTAAAGGGTCTGTAATTACAGACTCACCCTCTAATAGGTGAGGCAAATCGTCTCACCAATGAAGATGTAAGTTAAAAAATTATGATGTGATACAAATAATTGATGATTTAATAGAAATATTCGTTACTGTAATGTGGCTTTAATAAAAACATTTGACAAAGAAGGCATAATTTCGACTATTTGCCAACTGAGAATATGTCTCTGGACAGTTCATAGTTCATATAGTTCATATGAATTATGAACTAGACGTAGACAGTTCATATAGTTCATGCATCCAGAAAAATGTTTGGGTCATATTGTCCAAATAACGACACACTATCTTGACCACAGCGCAAGCAGAGAAAGGACTAGTACACTCTTCGCCGGCCAAACTAGTGCAGTATGACCCACACAGAGGCAAAACGTGCATCGCGTTGTGGACAATGGCACCCAGAGCTGCGGTGGTGCAGTGGTGAGAGACTCTGTCTCTCGCACCCAGCTCCCGGGTTCTCTGTCTCTCGCACCCAGCGCCCGGGCTCTCTGTCTCTCGCACCCAGCTCCCGGGTTCTCTGTCTCTCGCACCCAGCGCCCGGGTTCACCCCTCACATGCCCCCCTTCACTCTTGATTATCAACGAAGGGTGAAGTTGATCCTATCCTTCATTAACTAATTTATTTTAAAGAAATGCATGCCGGGATGTTACCTCCAACAGCGAGCTATTATGTTACCGTCAGTGAGAAAAACAGGATTTCACAAAATTATTACAACATATCGATGATTGAGAAATGAACCATAATTTTCTTTCAAAAAAATTGATGGTTTTTCTGTTGTTTTGTCTTTTATAAGGACTCAAATATTTATGAATATCTTGTACGGTCTGTAACTACAGACTCACCATGTCATAGGTGAGGCAAATCGTCTTACCAATGAAGATGTAAGTTAAAAAAAAAGACGTGAGACAAAGATACGTGGCTACAATGTGGTTTAAATAAAAACATCTGGCAAACCATGCATTTCAACTTTTTCCAACTGAGAATATGTCAACTATTTACCAATTAAGAATATGTCAACTATTTGCCAACTAAGAATATGTCAACTTTTGCCAACTAAGAATATGTCAACTATTTGCCAACTAAGAATATGTCAACTATTTGCCAACTAAGAATATGTCAACTATTTGCCAGCTGAGAATATGTCAACTATTTGCCAACTAAGAATCGTTCGTACATCCAGGGAAATGTTTTGGTCATATTGTCTAAATGGTGACACACTATCTTAATCACAGCGCCAGTAGGGAACGGACTGGTACACTCTTCGCCGGGCTAAACTAGGTCAGTTTGACCCACACTGAGGCAAAACGTGCATCGCCTTGTGAACAATGACACTCGCGTCCTGTCGGAGCCATATTGTCGAAATAGTGACACACTTCTTTGCCAACATTGCTAGCAGAGAGCAAACAGGTACCCTCTTCGCCGAGCCAAACTATATTAGTATGATCGACCCACATAAGGGCAAGACGAGCATCGCTTTATGGACAATGCCGCACTCATTCTTGTGAGTGCAGTGTAGTCTAAGAAGACCGTTAAGCATGTCGGGCCCCGGGCCGTGCCCTCATGATAGACCGGAGGCTTAGCGCCGCGAGGCCCCGGGCCGTGTCCTCAAGATAGACCGGAGGCTTAGCGCCGCGAGGCCTCGGGCCGTGTCCTCATGATAGACCGGAGGCTTAGCGCCGCGAGGCCCCGGGCCGTGTCCTCATGATAGACCGGAGGCTTAGCGCCGCGAGGCCCCGGGCCGTGTCCTCATGATAGACCGAAGGCTCAGCGCCGTGAGGCCGGGTTTAGCTCAGCTAATCCTGGCCTCAAGGAGAGACGAGCACTCAGAAGAATGAGTGAGCCTCCGTCCAAATATCGGTGCACTTTTCGACATTTTATGGATCATCCTGGCCCAGTTAGGCTCTGCAAAAGGTCATATCAGAGCTGGTCCCGCTATCTGGTCGAGAATTGTTTAAGAAAGTACGTCGCTATTTGGACAGTATGACCTATACATTTCTCTGAGTGTAGGAGCCACCTCGAGTTTTCAAGCCTCCAATTTGCGGCGCTAATGCTATTCCGCGATGGCAACAGCTTCGAACTTTTTGTTTTATATTTACTGGCGATATGTTAGCCTTCTATGACCATTTAGATCGTTAAATTAATTATTATTCCGTCGAATAAACGTTAAATAAACTTTCTTTTAACGTCATTTGCCAAAAACAGTTAGAGTGGAGGAACGCATCTGATTTGCTTTGGCTTCAATATTGCTTTGGTTCAAAGAGGCAGACTTTCTTAAAGCTGACCTAGGATTAATTCAGGGAATATGATTGAGAACTTCCCAATCTCGGTTGTCTGATTGTTCTATTGCAAAAACAATCGCTGTGTAGAGGAAGAAAATAAACTAACGAAGATAGTGTGAGTTTGATCAGGTTGTTTTTTGGTGACTTGAATTTTGGAAAATGTTCATCAACGAAAGGATATCGGAGATGGCAATGAATATAAGATTTCTGAAACTTTCTGTCGGAATTAATATTCTTCTTAAGAGCTTTACGCATACAGAAATTGAAAGTTGCACGCATAAAAATTATACCTACGTATAATTTGAAATAATTATAAAGTTTGGTCCGAATTTTTGAAAGCACAAAATTTATTTCGATTCAAATATAAATTTCTAGCCCTGCAATGTAGAGTAAATAGATTTAATTTATTAATTGAGTTTTGTAAATAGATTTAATTTAATATATGAGTTTTTGGTCGCAATGTATTAGGTTTAGGATTTTGGTTTAGCATTTTCAGTTTTCAATCACATTAGCCGTGACCTCCGGCAGTAGGGCGCTTTGTCTATCAATGTGTCTAGTGTTCTTGCCGTGGAGGTACGTTAATCGATAGCTCTGTGATTATATTTGTGTTTGTTCAATTTTAGAATGAATCGTGGCGTGTTATATTGATTATTTGTGCGCGCTAATTTGTTTATTATCTTTTCATATTCTCTAGTTAGGCATTTCAAGTGTTATTTTTGTTCTATTTCAGAAATGCCTCGATTATTGGACTTGAATCTTGGGAAGTAAATTGGAAGTGATTGAAACGTACGGTTATGATTAGTGGTGGGTTTTTCTTGTTAGAGTTAGGATTTTAGGTTGTTAGGGGTTTTGGCTTTTTTTCTATTCATTCTTCGTTAATTATATTTGTTCAAGACTGATTATTCAGTGATAAATCCTTGGTTTATTGGTTGAAGGATTGGGTGAAGAAATATCACGTGCTGTGTGTCGGGAACGCTTATTCGTTAGGAGATTGGAAGCTCCCCAAAAGCATTAATGTGTAGACTTTTAAAGCTTTTTTAAAGTTGGAAGGCTTTCCACAGAGATAGACGATTTCGTTAAATTCTACATTTGACCGGGTTCTGAGCTCAAAACAATGTTTAGAAATCGTAAATTCAAAAGCCCATCTCTATAAATTTTTAAACTGACGAAAAATGAACACTTGACGACCGTCATAAACTTACAATCGAGGCAACATTTTTTGAAAAAGCAACCCCAGGTTTAATTCATTTTTTGCTGGAATACAAGATTTAACAATAGCGAGTCTGTGTCACATTTCAGCCCCGGCCAATTAAAAGGGTTTCTGCATCGCGAAAAAATTTTTCATTTATGGCTTTGTGGTCACGGTATCAAAGCATTTGATTTTACAATCCTGAAGTCGTCAAACTTTTTTTACGAGTGAAACCTGATCTATCATCGATCCCAACGCGTGCAAAAAAATTGACTTGATAATTTAGTGAGGATTTTTTTTTAAGATTTATCCAACCCTTGACAGTCCCCCCTCGCTCCCAGGGTTCAATATCGACCACTTTGTGGGACTTGGTCCCAGCCGGGGGGGAAGGGGGGCATCTGCGATAACCACAGTCGAGCAGGAATTTCCGGGCAAGAAAACTAATAATAAAGTTAGGCAGCCATGAGACGAGCGTCATACGAGTGTTCGGGACGTGTTGTACAGCGAGCACGTGTAGTGTGTACTAAAAGGTCTAAGTGATTACGTGGAAAGTATGAGGAAAACAATGATATGAAAATATTGAGACAGATTATGATGCCAATTCGAAAAACTGATAACAAAATTTGTATATAAACTTTATAGGCAAACAAATGATTCCAAATAAATTTTGTAACACAATATGGCATTATAACGTATTTATTTATCAATTATAATGATAAAGTGACGTAATGGTTAGTGACAAAGAGACCAGCTCGTTATTACAGAGAGAAATGACTCATCAATTAATAATTTTATATAATCATGTGTACTTGATTTATATGAAATCAATGAAAAATAATATTTATGAGAATAATTATTTGATATTAGAGTTGAAAGTAGAAAAGCCTTGGCTGATCCAAATAACGCAAACAACGCTAGGATGATGTTATAAAATATTAATCTTTGAAAGCAATGATTGAAACCGCACCTCAAATAAATCATTGTAAAAGACAGTTATTTGCCAACGTACGTAATTTAGTAGCCTGCAATAAAAATAGGTTATTAAAATCGATTTATATCCAATTTCAGTTTAAATCCCGATCCAGTTATAATATAGTGATAGTCCATGATGTTCTTTATGTTCAACTATTTATTATGATTTACCATCCATTAGCAAAATATACTATTCGTAACGGAAGGCTTCGTTGACCGAAAGTTCGGTCCACTTGAGACATCTGCAACTAACTATCTTTGAAGAAAGACGAAGGTGAACTCAAGATAATAATACAGATAAATATATAATAATATAGGTAATATGATCCATAAAAAAAATAGATAATAAGATAGATAGCAGCTAAGAGTAGCAATATAATGCAAACACAATAAAATAGATAATAAAATATAGCAGCTAAGAGTAGCCCCATCTCACATGTGACGTAGAGGCGGGAGGCGTTGGTGAGGCTGTAGAGAGGCTGGTTGGGGTTGGTTGCTGTACAGGACAAGACGCTGTCGTGATGGTCGCGCGTCACTGTCAGGGACAGGTGACTCTCAGACACCATCCCATGCGCCCGCTCCTGTTCCACATACTTCCGAGTGAATAATTTAGTCTTTTTCAGCTAAATCAATCAATTAAATAATAATAATAAATTTTTGTTAGATACACAGCAGCTTCAATAATCTGGTAATCATCTAATTTGCGGTTGTCATTATTTCTGGTTGTATATTATTTATTTCAAGTTTGTATGGGCAAAAATATGGATAGATAAATGAAGGCAAATAATTCCGCTTGTCTAATTGTTATGAATGAAAGGGCCTATTCATTATAGCAGCTACATCACCTCGGCTTCGATTCAAATTATTCTAACTGGTGAAGAAATATCTTTTCATTTAAGCTAGCCTGCGGCCACTAAGACGATCGAACAGTTGCTTTCCAATAAATGGAATTAAGTAAATTAATTAATTAATCCATTAATCGCAGTTAAAAAATTAATTAACACACAAAATAATTAGTTGCAGTTCAATTTATATTTATATTAACAGCTCAAGAAAGCGTTCTGAAACAGAGATGCTTTTTCCTGAGCTGGATACAAAGAAGACTTTTGTTTATTTTTGAAAGAAAATGTCTGAGAATCAGAAAATTAAAAGATATTTTAAATATGACGTGATTATTTTGAGATATAAAAGTCTACTGTTGCATTATAACCAAATAAATTTGATAATCGAGGAACTATTTTCCATTTTAGAGCAGCCTCTTTAAAAAGCAATAAAAAATAATTTAAAAAAAATTGCCTTACAGAATTTCGTGTATTACGTAGCAAATTATTTTATCTTAAGGATCATCTGCTTTGGCCAACGACTCGTACTGGATAATAATTATCATCTCTATTGCATCTGGAGCCAATTTCCCAGCCAAAATCACTTGTGAGGTTTGAGGGCAAATGAAAATTCTTGATCCGACAAAAGTTAGTGTGTTAGGGGGAAGTTCAAAGTTTGTGCTAACTTTGTCGAATTGCCTTGTAAACTTAGGCTTGGCTGGCACATGTCAGCAAAAACGACGCCTGTTAAGTGCAGAGCTTTGATCCATATTGCATACACGCAATAACCGTATTCTGGAGTTAACTAGAAGAGGTCAACTAGATTGACCATAGCAGAGCCGTCTAGAGAAGAGAGCGACATTCAGCGGAAAGCTGCAGAAGTTCAGAAAATGCATGTATAAACAAACTAGTATCTAGAATTATGATTTATGATTAAGTGGACGAATTTATTCTTTGGTTAGGTAGATAACCGAAGCAGTTCACAGTTCCTAATTAAGATACAGCGATTTATGCCAGCTACAACGTGAAATTCTGGAGTAGCTGCATTCAGCACCGACCTGGATGCTCCCTACATCCATCTCATAGAGTCTTTTCGTGCAATCCGTGATGCTGCATACGGACCTTATACCAACCTGGCAATTTTCAGCTTCATTCAGATCCCAAAGTTCTCAACTTGGAGTCCTGAAGCTGAATCCAGACCCCCAACTACCCTCCAGGGTGCCCCAAAACTGCACCCAGACCCTCAACTACCGACCTGGGTGTCCTGAAGCTGCACCTAGACCCTCAACTACCCACCTGGGTGTCCTGAAGCTGCACCTAGACCCTCAACTACCCACCTGGGTGTCCTGAAGCTGCACCTAGACCCTCAACTACCCACCTGGGTGTCCTGAAGCTGCACCTAGACCCTCAACTACCCACCTGGGTGTCCTGAAGCTGCACCTAGACCCTCAACTACCCACCTGGGTGNGGACAGCAAGGATACGGGTACGAGCCGCACCACAAAACTGACAACCTCACAGGAGTGGACAGCAAGGATACGGGTACGAGCCGCACCACAAAACTGACAACCAACGCAATGATCAGGGGTTCAGCCCTAATGCACTGCCCAGAACACAGAACCGGGGTGGCAGTTACGCCTCAAAAGCACGACTATTGAAGGGTACGAGCCTCCAATAAGCCGTTGACAATTTACTCGAGCGCAGAGGTTATTAGCCTGTTGCACGAGGGTGCGAATTGAACGGCTGTTAACCGCCCAACGCAGCCAAAACCTGGAACTATCCAAGAACTCCACCTATGCCGTTATTAGTCCGTTAGTGGAACTCATTAAGAGTTATGCTCAGAACTGCGGTGGAGTTTATTCTTGGAAGCCCAAATTTGGCTCTGCCTGATTCGAGTCGAAACCGTGTCACCCCAACCCAGTAACACTGAGCCCACACAACTTCCGAGCACACACAGCGAGGGGGTAACTCAGCCAAAATGAGCTTGCCTCAACATCCCGTTTACAATGTACAAAACAGACCGTAAACACTTTCTAAGTGCAAAAAAATAGATAATATAATATAATACAATATCAATAAAGTCAACATATTTTTAATCATTTGGCAAAGTAATCACAGTTAAAAGTCTAATAATCTTAAACTAATTCCAAAGTGAACAAACTCTCCATCGTTCAAGACTATCTAGTGCGCACCGTCGCCAGGCCAGGGGCAGCTCAACCAATCACGTTAGAGCTACATCTTGTCTCGTCCCAAGACACTAACTAAATCCTACAAACACCACAGCTAGACGAGATTCCATATTACAGCCATGAAATAAATATTCGTTTGTGCATTGCTTAGTCATAAATAAATTAAACCCTTGAGTTAACAAAATAATATCACAGTTAAATTAGATTCCATTATTAGTCATAAAATAAATGTTACCAACAATTGATTATTCACTAATCTAACACAGGATTAATAGAACGTACAGGTAGGGTAACATGGGGCAGCGCGCCCCCCCCTTTTTTTAAACTAAATTTTCGATGAAGTTTTAATTGATACGAGGTGGTTCTTTGTTTTGATTAAATGTACAACTAATGAGGAATGTATGATGTGAATTAGACGCCTATATGTTCATTCAATTTTTAATGAAACACTGTTTTATAAAAAGTGTCAAAATGGGCCCATTGCCCCACCCCTGGGGCAATGGGCCCATGGGCTTGGGGCAAGGCGCCCACCCATGGTCCCTTTACCACAAATGCATATTTTTCGTTTAAAACTGATAAAACAACACTTTACAGTTAAAAATAAGAAAATGCAATAAAAAATATGACATTCACTCATTCATTAACAACTCAAAAAATTAAATACTTAACTTGAAAAAAAATATACTCTTGGCTTAAAAAATCTATCACTGACGTGAAGAAAAATATTTCATTGACATAAAAATATATATCATTGACTTGAAAATATATCCTTGCGATAAAAAATTCGTCCTTGACATGAAAAAATGTATCCTTGACTATAAAAAATATTTTTAGTTGATCAGAAAAAAACTTCGTTCCAGTTTCGTCCATAATCCAGATATTATGTGCAGACAATTCGTACCTAATCGTGATTTCAGCCAACACCATAAAAACTCTCATCAACTTTTGGATCATCGGTGTTGACTGAAATCAACTTTTGGCAAGGCAAGAGTCAATAACTCGAAAAGTGGTCATAAATACGCATAACTGGAAACTAAACCTGCTGCCTTGAGGCGGCAAATAAAAAAATCATGCAATATGAAGTGTAATTTGTAATTCAAAAAGCTAGTAATAGTTTGAAAAGGTCATTGAGACAAATCTAATGATGTATAACACAAGACTTCACACGAGGCCCCGGGCCGTGTCCTCATGATGGACCGGAGGCTTAGCGCCGCGAGGCCCCGGGCCGTGTCCTCATGATAGACCATAGGCTTAGCGCCGCGAGGCCCCGGGCCGTGTCCTCATGATAGACCGGAGGCTCAGCGTAACTAGTCCGGGTTTAGCTCAGCTAATCCTGGCCTCAAGGAGAGACGAGCACTCAGAGGAACGAGTGAGCCTCTGTCCAAATATCGATGCACTTGCCGCCGTTATATGGATCATCCTGACCCAGTTAGGCTCTGCAAAAGGTCGTATCAGTGATAGGCCCGCTGTCTGGTCGCGATGTGGGTAAGAAATTACGTTGCTATTTGAACAGTATGACCTATACATTTCTCTGAGTGTACGAGCCACCTCGAGTTTTCAAGCCTCCAATTTGCGGCGCTAATGCTATTCCGTCGATGGCAACAGCTTCAAACTTTTTGTTTTATATTCACTGACGATTTATTAGCCTTCTATGACCATTTAGATAGCTAAATTAATCATTATTCCGTCGAATAAACGTTAAATAAACTTCCTTTAACATCATTTGCCAAAAACGGTTGGCTTCAGTATAGAGGAACGCGGCTGATTTGCTCTGGCTTCAAAATTGCGTAGGTTCAAAGGGGCAGACTTTCTTAAAGCTGACCTAGGATTAATTCAGGGAATATGATTGAGAACTTCCTAATCTCGGTTGTCTGATTGTTCTCTTGCAAAAACAATCGCTGTGTAGAGGAAGAAAACAAACTAACGAAGATAGTGTGAGTTTGATCAGGATTTTTTTGGTGACTTGAATTTCAGAACATATCCATCTACGAAAGAATATTGGAGATGAGCAATGAATGTGAGGTTTCTGAATCTCAATGTCGGAATTAATATGCTTCTTAAGATCTTAACGTATACAGAAATTGCAAGTTACATGCATACAAATTACACGGATAATTTGAAATAATTACAAAGTTTAGAACGAATATTTGAAAGCTAAAAATTAATCTCGATTCAAATACAAATTTCGAGCCCTGTATTATTGTGTAGATTTTTAAAGCTTTTTTGTTGGAAGGCTATTCACAGATGAAGATGATGTTGTTAAAGTATACATTTGACCGGACCGTGAACTCAAAACAATGTTTAAAAATCTTAAATGCAAAAGCCCATCACTATAAATTCTTGAAACTGATGAAAAATGAACACTTGACGACCGTCATAAACTTTCAATCGAGGTAACATTTTTCGAAAAATTAATCCCAGATTTCATTAATTTTTGTTGGAGTACAAGATCTAACAATAGCGAGTCAGCGTCACATTTCAGCCCCGGCCAATTGAAAAAATTCCTGCATGGAAAAAATTTATAACAAATTTTCATTTATGGCCTTGTGGTCACGGTATCAAAGCATTTGATTTTACAATCCTGAAGTCGTCAAACTTTTTTTAACGAGTGAAACCTGATTTATCATCGACCCCATCGCGTACAAAAAAAATTTTCATGATAATTTAGTGCTAATTTTCTTGAAGATTTATCCAAACCTGGACAGTCCCCCCTCGTTCCCAGGGGTCAATATCAACCACTTTGTAGGACTTGCATCCAGCGGGTGTGGGGTGTGGGGCATCCCCGATAACCACAGTCGAGCAGGAATTTCCGGACAATAAAACTAATAATAAAGTTAGGCAGCCATGAGACGAGCGTCATACGAGTGTTCGGGACGTGTTGTACAGCAAGCACGTGTAGCGTGTACTAAAAGGTCTAAGTGATTATGTGATAAGTATGAGGAAAGCAATTATATGAAAATCTTGAGACAGATTTAGATGCGAATTCGAAAAACTGATAACAAAATTTATATACGAGTATAAACTTTATAGGCAAATAAATGATTCCAAATAAATTTTGTAACACAATATGGCATTATAACGTATTTATTTAGCTATTAATGATAAAGTGACGTTATGGTTACTGACAAAGAGACCAGCTCGTTATTACAGAGAGAAATGACTCATCAAATAATATTTTTGGATAATTATGGGTAATTGATTTATATGAAGTAAATGAAAAATAATATTTATGGAAGTAATATTTGATGTGAGTGCTGGAAGTTGAATAGCTACGGCTGATCCAAATAACGCAAACAACAATATTAGGATGATGTTATAAATTATTAATCTTTGAAAGCAAGGATTGAAACCGCACCTCAAATAAATAATTGTAATAAACGGATATATGATAATGTACGTAATTTAGTAGCCTGCAAAAGAATTGGGCTATTTGCTTTATATCAATTTCCCTTTAAATCTCATTCCAGTTAGTGATAGTCCACGATGATCTTACGGTTCAACTATTTATTATGATTTACAATCCATAAGCTGAAATTTAATATTCGTAACGGAAGGCTTCGTTGACCGAAAGCTCGGTCCATTTGAGACACCTGCAACAAACTATCTTTAAATAAGTACAAAAATGCGCTCAAGATAATAATAATGATCGATAAATCTTTAATAACATAGGTATTATGATCCATTGACATAAAAATAGATAATAAGATAGATAGCAGCTAAGAGTAGCAATATAATGCATAGACAATAAAATAGTTAATAAAATATAACAGCTAAGAGTAGCCCCATCTGACATGTGACGTAGAGGCGTGAGGCGTTGGTGAGGCTGTAGAGAGGCTGGTTGGGGTTGGTTGCTGTACAGGACAAGACGCTGTCGTGATGGTCGCGCGTCACTGTCAGGGACAGCAGCTCAAGAAAGCGTTCTAGAAGGGAGCTGCTTTTTCCTGAGCTGGATACAAAGAAGACTTTTGTTTATTTTTGAAAGAAAATGTCTGAGAATCAGAAACTTAAAAGATAATTTTAAAAATGACGTGATTATTTTGAGATATAAAAGTCAACTGTTGCATTACAACTAAATAAATTTGATAATCGAGGACTTATTTTCCATTTAGAGCATGCAGCCTCTTTAAAAAAGCAATAAAAAAATAATTAAAAAAATTGCCTTACAGAATTTCGTGTATTACGTAGAAAATTATTTTATTTAAGGATCATCTGCTTTGGCCAACGAATCGTACTGGATAATAACTATTATCTCTATTGCATCTGGAGCCAATTTCCCAGCCAAAATCACTTGTAAGGTTTGAGGGCAAATGAAAATTCTTGATCCGACAAAAGTTAGTGTGTTAGGGGGAAGGTCAAAGTTTGTGCTAACTTCACCAAATTGCCTTGTAAACTTGGGCTTGGCTGGCACATGTCAGCAAAAACGACGCCTGTTAAGTGCAGAGCTTTGATCCATATTGCATATAATAACCGTATTCTAGAGTTAACTAGAAGAGGTCAACTAGATTGGCTACAGCAGAGCCGTCCGTCTAGAGAAGCGAGCGACATCCAGTTGAAAGCTACAGAAGTTGAGAAAATGAATGTATAAACAAAGATCTAGAATTATGATTTATGGTTAAGTGAATAAATTTATTCTTTGTTGAGAATAACTGAAGTACTTCAAACTTCCTTTTTTAAGATACGGCGATTGAAGCAAGCTACATCTTGAATCCTGAAGTAGCGGCATTCAGCACCGACCTGGACCTGGATGCTTCTCATGGTTGAGCTAGTATATATAAGGGTGACCCATGAGAAGCTCATTCTTGCGGATGTAGTTTGTTGTTCGCCTGTGACGTCACTGATCTCAGTGACGTCACAGGACATTAACCAATCACCGAAATGCGATCAAACCAGTCAACCAATCCGTCGTGAGAATAACGGGATTGTTTACGTTTCTCGATCTCAGTGACGTAACAAGAAAGCTGAACTGAAAGACGGAAATCCTCGTGGGTCAACCTTATATTGTTCAACCATGGATGCTACCTACACACACCTCATATAGTCATTCCATGCTAACCGTGATAAACAACAACAATGTCAGACCCTCAACTACCCTCCTTTGTACGCCCAAACTGCACCCAGACCCTACACTACCCACCTGGGAGCCCTGAAGCAGCATCCAGACCCTACACTACCCACCTGGGTGCCCTGAAGCAGCACCCAGACCCTACACTACCCACCTGGGTGCCCTGAAGCAGCACCCAGACCCTACACTACCCACCTGGGTGCCCTGAAGCAGCACCCAGTCATCATGGGTGCCGAGGTGCCAGGTGAGGTGGGCGGGAGGGTGTGAGCCGTGCGCCCTGCAGAGCACCGCGTAGCTGCCGCCGGCCTCCAACCCCGCCTCCAGCCCCGTCACGACCACGCGCAGTGGACGCACTACAGGCTGTCTCTTATACACATCTAGATGTGTATAAGAGACAGTNCCTGTCTCTTATACACATCTAGATGTGTATAAGAGACCGCACTACAGGCGGTCATGTCACTAACAAATTACAGGCGCAGTGGACGCACTACAGGCGGTCATGTCACTAACAAATTACACGCACAAACATATTGTAGCCTCAGTTTGACGCAGCTCGTACGGCGTTTGTTTATGGGGAGTAGTTTTCAGCATCATTCTTTCTCCACTTGTCACTTTGATCTCGACGCAGACCAGTACGGTATGGTGCGTTACAATGGTTTAGTCCGCTTTGAATTGTTGTTGGGATTTATTGCTATACGTAATGGCATTTTAATTGCTTTGCAGACCTAGATGCTAAATTATTTCAACCAGCGGCATTAGGCATGTGACTTAGCTTAAGTCCTGTTAGACGAAACATCTTCTATAAAATAAATTCGTTGGTATTAAAATTTTCGGTGTTCAGTTGTCAAAAGTTTCATTAGCCATGTCCTTGTGTGAATTATGAAGTCAGTAAACATGAAGACCATTGCTAGAATGGTACGTAACCACTCTAGGCTGTAAGTCGGCGGTTACATATATCAATAAATTGTATTATTTTTGCAAACACATAACCGTCACAAGCAAATCTACGGTACATATATATTAATAAATATTATTTTTACAAGAATATTACTGGCATAAGATATAGTAATAAATCATGATATTTTACAAACATATTGCCATAAAATATAATTTTGTTTTCGTGACACTATTCTACAGGCGAAACACTAAAGCCATTGACACAGCAAAACTAACGTCATTCATGGAGTATAGTAGTTCAAAATATAAATATATTTTTCGTACAAATATCGCGATACCGAAATTTGTAGTTTTATATTTGAATTGCAGGATAGTAGCCCCTGCCTCGCTACTGCGATCTAGGTAAACTTCCTGACGCACTTGAATGCAGCAACTAATATGCGTTATTCGTTAGACGAGACACAAATAATCATTCACTCTCACTATTCAGGCATGCAGGCTTTCTTGTTGCTCAAAACTCATCATTTAATACAATAAAATGTAAGGAAATACACACAATATTATAATTTAGCAATGTTTGTTTAATGTTATGTCATGAGATGAAATACTAATATGAATTTTCACTTAGGTAAATAATGCAATCCTCACCAGGCATGAATGATAGCATCAGCGTAAATGAATGAAATTTATAAAGTAAAGATGACTCAAATCTTCATTATTTTTGGATGAAATCGTTTGTAAAAACCCAATTTCAATATCCGTTCCACCTTTGGTGAGGCAGGGTGCGTCAGAAAAATTAATCCCTCAACATTGAAGAAAGCTTATTATTAAAAAAAATGTCGACGTCCGTCTTGATATTGTCTCTTTGAGGGCCCGAACGTTCATTTTTCTACCGGCGTTTACGAAGGCAGTTCATAAAAATGTCGTCGTAGCTCCAGTTTTATTCGCTCTAGCCGCCCGTTATATTTAGACGAGGTGAAAAACTCACGTTCTCGCCCTTCATCCCCGAACATTTTTCTTCCTCTAGCTCTCGTCTGTAAATTTGATCCTTTTTCGATGCTTCTGTTGTTAAACACAGTTTTTCCAAGTTTATTATTATTCGTGTCTTTGAAAATGTTTAATTTGTTCAGCATTAAAATGCCTTGGAATATTTGCTTTCTCTCGTTTTAGTTAATCTTCTCCTGAACCAGATTCGTTTTCGTGATCCCACTCCAATGTTAACAATAAATTTCCGTATCAATGGCTTAAATCAAACGAAAAGCTACAAAAAAGTTCCTGCTATAGCAAAAAGCTTCTATTGATCCTGCTATATTTTTTTCCTCTGTCCCTCAATCTCTCTTTTTTTTCACTTTCTCTTTTTCACCTCAACATTAAAGTCCCAGTTTTCATGTCGTTGAAGTTTGCCGTTGGGAAATCTTTCTTTGAGCTGGTCATCAAATTTTCTGTCATGGAATCAAAATTAAAGTCGCGCATGTTGAGCCCATGTGACATTCACTGGGAAAAACTCTAATGTTTTGAACATAAACCATTACTTCATAAAAATAAATGAAATACTTTGATGTCATATATATTTTAGACTGGTTTTCGTGATGTTGAAATGTCTGTCACAAATTAGATAAATTTCCCGTATAGTTTTTAAATGGAGATGGTCTTACACGAATTTACCCACTGTAAAGTCACAAATAATTTCATAAGGATTTTTTGCCCATATATTAGGGAACTGCAAAGTTATGCCCATTCGAAATATTGCGAGCTTTTGATCGTCATCTCAAATCAACGTCTTCACTCTGCATTCAAATCTTTTTGAAAAAGTGTATTCGCTCGCGTTAGAAACAAAATTATTAAATCCTAGCTTTAATGTCCTTTCAAACCTGAAGAATCTTATGCGTACTATCAACAGAAGAAGGTAAAATGTTTTGTTGATTTATCTTCTGTTAAATGGAAAACCTGAACCCAGTTTAAATTGTAAAATTAAAGCTCACCAATTTTAGGTTCTATTTGTAGAGAATCTTGGAATTTTGGACGGAAATCATTCACAAGCGCGTCTTCTTGGAATTGGATCAAACCGAGAATCAGGGCCTGCCTTCAAGTCTATCAAGCCACCTGATTCCATTGAGCAGCGCGAGCCCTTCTATTACGTTCATTAAATCTCACCTGAACTTCCCTACTCTTTCTTTCAAAGTTCTGTCGACCTCGAGACAAAAGCGCGTGCCATTAACAGCCAGGGCGTCAACTGGTACAAGCAAGCTGGTTTCTTTCTAAAGACCTGAACTGTAAGGATATTTAAAGCGAATAAATACAGCACTGAAGGGAATAACTTTTAGTGCACGTTTATTGACTAGGAATGAATATGCAGCAATGTAGAATAAAAGCAATCGATATTGGTTATTTTATCGGCAGTAAATCTGTTAAGAAATTCCTAAAGCTAAAATGCACTACAAAACCATGTCAGCTAAACATAAGTCAAAGGCTCGGCTCTTTATTGAAATTTACTATTCGTAAAATTAAAACTCAATCATTTTTGTAATAAACTAAACTAGGAGGAAATTTTTTATATACGAGTTTATATGAACTAAAAACAAAATAATTGTTTAATGATGATGACACAAAATGAACATCTTTCTTCAGCAAGATCCCTTATAAAGTGATGGGTGACTCACAAGAATTTTCGTCAATTTGTCTTTCGAAGTCTGCGCCGGCCCTCATTTTAACCTTGAATTTTAGATAATGGATTATTAGATTAATGTGGTCCAGTCAGGGGATTTGTCGTGATTGATGAGACTTTTATTATAATAATAATATCCTCTTCGTGGACGCGAGCTCTCAATTATCGGTTTTGTTCTCAAAACTTCAAGGTATTGCATAAAAATATAGCATAGCTGCTGTCATAATAAACTTACATAAAAGATTTCAAATTCTATAAATAAAAAATTATTTTAAATTTCAGAAAAAAATTATATATTTTGTGCTTTTCCAACTTTTTTACTGACCTGTTTTGCAAATTATTCAGTCTATAACTGTGTATTTTTAAATATTTCTATAATTAGAAAGATAATCTTACAGATTTTATAGTTCCTTGTAGAGATCAATATGAGTATTTGTTGTAAATTATATTCTTTGCTATGAGGAGAAGGAATTTTTACAATAGATCATCGGTCATTTCAGCAGCTCTGCATTGCTATTCAGTGAAAAGCCAATCATTTTACATTTTTGCATGATTTTCCCTATTTTACACAGCAATTAGAACTCAGCAACCAATTTTCTTCCTTAAAAGGAAATAAATAAATAAAAGTAAAAGAAAATAACTAATTCATACTCTGTTTACTTTTATTCATTCATAGGCGCTGAATTGAAAGCAACGCATTTGACTTATTTCGTATATCATGAAAAATGAAATATTAAATATTTCCTGCTAAAATTTTGAGTCCTCAATTAACTAAAATGTTAAGCAAAAATGATCTGCCATATTTACTGCAAGTTAATGAAACGTTACTTTGCATTGTTTGCAAGGATGAAACTCTAATCAATGCCTTAGAATTAATTATGACATTCCCATTGACGTAGGTTCACACGTAGCTTATCTAACGTCTGAATTCAAGAGACGATGATATAAAATTCTTCCCTAATTTTCCACCAGTGATGCTTGACTTATTAAAAGCTATCACATATCAGAAATGTTTGGCTGCACCTGTGATACTGTGAAAACCTAAATTTTGGTGTTACCTAGATATGGTATAAAAAAATATTCGTGGTGACATTTAATGATGAATATCCACGATAATATTCTTACTAATTTTTGGTTATAATTCATGTAATTCAATAGTTATGTCCCTCAAAGTGCCTGACCCGAATGTCTCAACTTTAGCTCCAACGTCATTCTCATAAGTTGGCTGGAATTACTGATGGAGCCTGGTTTAGAAGCAGAATGAAGTGCCATCAACATCTGTGGCAAAGTTGCAGCCGAAATGGCAAGTTAGGACGAAATACTTGACCAAGCTAATGGTAGGAGTTGCGACGAAACAAACATAAATGGCAAGTTAGGACGAAATACTTGACCAAGCTAATGGTAGGAGTTGTGACGAAATAAACATAAATGGCAAGTTAGGACGAAATACTTGACCAAGCTAATGGTAGGAGTTGCGACTCGTACGCTGCAGGCTTACGCAGCTCCTGCGAGACACATAAGGTCGTTACTTGTTCACCTCCGACGAATGCAAGTTTAGCGAAACTTAATTATACTTTAGCAAAATTTGCGTTTACATAGTGGATGACCATCAAAATCCCATGTTTAGTTTAGAGGCGGCATTAAAGTCCGGGCAAAATCACTACGCAAGTTTAAAAATGATACTCGAGACGGATATTAATTCTTTTGTTTTTGTTTATTTAATTTTATTCCAACACAACCGTACCCAGGAAAAATCGCGTATAGACAGGAAAATTATTTTCAAACCTGAAC